GAAATCATTCTAAAATATAAGAACCGCAAGCAGGAATAAGAACCAAGAGTTAATAACCAAACACCTACCTTAAAGTATCAGGCTAAACTCTAGGATAATCCACAAGATCCCTAAAACCCGGACCAAATCTTCCACGCCGTCTTTCAGCCTACCAACTTAGGGTTGATTGTTGGATTAGTGTTGATAGTGTTGGTTATTTGGAGACCCGAATATTGGTGTGACCATAGACCTCCGATCGAGTTCCGTTCCAGAACCGGTTCACACCTTTTCACCACTTTTCGGGTCTCACAATAGTTTTGTAAATCATCCGTATAGATTGCAAATCAATCCGTATATGATTTTGTGTAATCCGTATTATCCGAATTCAAACGGATCACATCACTAAATCAGTACAACATCAACTTAAGGCATACGACTGAGTACAAGAGCTTTGGTGATATCAAAAATCAACAAAATCCACCGGTATACGCTATCCTACAGTAGTCTAGTTTTTTTTAAATTATGTCACGTGAATTTTAGATATAGTAATTTTTAATTACGTTTTTTATTGCACCATTATTTAAGGTATAGCTTAATAACGCTATAGTAATAAATTATTATATTCATTTAAAAAATATATAATTAGATTTCACCCAAAATTTTCCGAATAATCTTTTTGCTTTTGATTACATTCCAAATGATTTTGCTCAAATGCTCAAATCGTCTATTAAATGTTTAGGAATTAAATACTATATTAGAAATGAACAAAAAGAAACAGCAGAATTCTACTAAAAAAGATTTAATGTGTGTTTTATGAAGTCTATATTTAATTGATTTCGAACTGATTTAAATATTGGTTAATTAACTATAAAAATCATAAGTATTTACTAAATAATTGTATCATAAGTATAAAGACTACCATGGAAATTAAGTTTATATGACTTGCTATCGAAGCGGATGACGCTTTACCAACCTGACTCTGGCCTTTGTTATTATTATTCGTACTATTCGCATTACTGTTGCTATTAGCTGCATTACTATTGCCATTATTTGGATTATTATTACTATTATTCGTATTATTGTTGCTGGTCGTAGTACTAGTACCAATGTACTCAGCAAATGTTGGGTAGCTTATGTTTGTTTCAGCATAGGGTTGAGTAATGTTCATGCACGAAGCGATAGGAACTAAATATTTATAGGCACTTGCGATCTGTGGGTACCATTCCAGTGCCTTACTCATAGTGCCACTGTTTATTTCATGTTCTAGTATGATGCAACCAGAATCAGTGAAAGTGCCATTTTTACCCATATTGACAAAGTCTTGAAAATTGGCATCAACTTGCGCCGGTGTGAGAGTGCCTGCAGGTGCCATATCCCAATCGTTGGTATCTGTAAATGTTATAATAGGTTAGAATTCTAACAAATTCTTTAACTCATTTAATAACAGAACGTTTACTTACCAAGATTCCAAATAATAGTTGACATGTTGAGCTGCTGAGCAATGCCGCGAACTCTATCATCAACATCACCAAAAGGCTATAAACAGAGAAAAGGAATTAAGACAAAATGATATAAATTTAAATCTTTATTTAAGAATTTTTTGCAAATAAATGATTCTTACTGGACGCCAGCATTGAGGAGTTACACCAATGACATATTTAATAGCTTTCCTGGTATAGTATAATTCCCCAAGCACCTCTTCATTTGTTAATGTAGTCATGTAGGGATGAGACCACGTATGCACACAAATTTGATGACCGTCCGCTAAAGCACGCTTGGCTTCATTAGGCCAATCAGCAACGTTCGATCCAATAAAAAACATAGTCGCTTTCTGATTGTTTGCTTGAAGGAAGTCGTAAAACACAGTATGCGAACAATTTGGACCGTCATCATATGACAAACCCAAGGTTTCTAAATATTATAGTATTAGCATTAAACATCTAATCGATTCGATATGAAAATTCATGAAAAGATTTTTATAATTATACACTGATAAAAATATGGTATTTTTTTACTAGATAATATATTATTAAAATATGGTAATTATATTTAAATTTTGTCAATTACCTAGTAATTAAGTAAAAATTTGTACTATATTTTACAATATATTTCCTAGTAAAAATATAATTTTTTTGACCAGTAATAATTGAATTCTCACCAGGTTCAGGACAAAAGTAAATATCGGGATTTATTCCAGGAGCTTTGGGGGTCGTACAGGTGCTAAAGGACCACCAGCAATCTGGATCACTAGTATTATAACCAGTCGTAATGAAGCTTCCACTGGCGTCCAATTTCCTAGTAGGAATATTTGGTACTTTTGACCAGTCAATAGAAGCATAGAGCGCCTTGAACTCGCTTGTGCCAAAAACTTCGGTACCGGGTTTTACCCAAATTTTTGGATAATCACCAGTTTTAAAAGTATATGGAGATGAGTACGAT